CAAATTAATAAATATTTATCATAATTCTTTTCAAAATCCCAGTACTTTGGGGGCAAAATAAAAAAAAAACTCATCCTAAAATTCATAGGAAATGCAAAGCATCCCCCCAAACAATCTTGAAAAAGAACAGAGATCAAGAATTCCCATATCTTGATTTCAAAATTGATTATATAATTATAGTAATCCATATCGTGTGATACTAGCATAAATGTATATGTATATAGTATAGAAATAAATGTGTATTTTTTGTGGTAAACTGGTTTTCAGCCAGGGTTCTCAAACCATCCAAACTTCAATCTGTTTTTCAAATGGTGCTGGGGAAACTGGAAATGCACACATGAAAGAACAAAGTTCCAAATACCATATACAAAAATGGACTGTAGACTTAAACGTAAGAATTATAACTAGAACTAGAAGAAAACTTAGGAGTAAATCTTCATGATCTTGGACTAGGCAGTGGTATCTTAGGTGTAAACACAAGCAAGGAAAGAAAAAAAAGCAGGTAAATGGGATTTCATCCAATTGAAACTTAGGATTCAAAGGACAATATTAACAAAGTAAAAACGCACAGAATGGGAGAATTTTTTAAAATCACATATTTGATAAGGAACTTAAACCTCAGTGATAAAGACAAATACCTCAATTTCTAAAATGGATAAAAGATTGGAATAAATATTTCTCCAAAGAACATAAGCCAGTGTCTAATAAGCACATCATTAGTAATTGGGAAATTGCAAATCAAATCACAATGAGATACTATTTCACACCCACTGGGATGGCTAAATTAAAAAGACAACTGGTAATGAGTGTTGACAAAGATGTGAAAAAGTTAGAATCCTTATACAATGCTGATGAAAATATTAAAAGGTGTAGCCAGATTTTAAAGAGTTTGGCAGTTTCTCGTAGAGTTGCCATATTGATTTAGCAGTTTCACTCCTAGGTGTCTTCCTCGGAGAAGTGATAACATAGCTCCACACAAAAACTTACATACCAATGTTCATAGCAGTACTATGCATTATAGCCAAGAAACAGATATAAGCAGTCCATCAGCTGATTAATGAATAACCAAATATGGTGTATTATTTGGCAATAAAAAGGAAAGTGAAGTCCTGATACGTGCCATTACATGAGTGAACCTCGAAAATATATGTGGTCACAGAGGGCAATATATTATATTATTCAATTTTATGACATGTTCAGAAAAGGCAAAAAAGAGATAGGAAGTAGATTAATGGTTTCCAAGGATTATGGGAAGGGGGAATAATTGCTAATGAGCATGGAGTTTAATTTTGGGGTTATGAAATTGTTCTAAAATTAGTGGTAATGGTCATGCATCTCTATACTAAAAATTATTGAAATATACACTTTTTAAAAKGCAGATGTAAATCTGTTATTTCTTAAAAGGTAGCTTTCATATTTAACCTATTTGCAGTGAGAATATGTTTGTGTGTTAGTGGTATAAATTATTAGGTGGTTCCTGAGAGCTTTTTGGGGGGGTGTCGGGGGGGTGCTGGGGATTGAACTCAGAGCTTTGTGCATTCAACCGAGCTATATCCCCAGCCCTCCTGACATACTTTTTATCTCGGTGTTCTCAGACCCTAGGCTGTAGAGATTATTGCAATGAACATGTAACACAGAGAAGTTAAGGCCTGTAGCCCTGGAAGTAGGTGGGAGACATGGAGTCAGAGTAAGGAAGGGAAAAAGTGAAGGCCAGGGTAGAATTTTCATATTCTAGGCTCTGACATAAGAATAAAATGCTTCTAGACAATGGGCCCTGTTCTTCCCTGTCCTTTCCTAACCCCAAAGGTCCTCCACTATCTTTGAAGGCTCAGCTCTGGTATCACTTATTAACAGTTTTGATTCTTCAGGAAGCTGCCCCTGAGATGGAGTTAGGAGTACAAAGAGTGTAATTGGGAATAAGAAAAGAGGAGAAAACAGGACTGGGCAGAGGGAGTGTCAGTCTATAATGCAGACTTACCACATGTCTCCATCAACTGGATAGGGAAATCTGCAGCTAAGGTTTCCTACCAGAAGAATTCTGTGTTGGATGGAACTGGGTGGTCCTAGCTTCCAGTCACTAGCTAGGAGCYACACTGAGAAGAGCATGGATTTGGTTCAAAATCTGAAGTAGGTCCTAGACAACCTAACAGCTAGAGGCAGTCAGCTAACTGTATTTCTTGAGGCAGCAAGTGTTTCCTTAAAGGGGACATAGTAGCACTTCCAAGTCTGTCACCTCTCTGTGTGAAATGTGTCTTGACTCTCTCCTCTCAGCCAAGGGAGAGGCAGTTGCTCTCTCCTGAGAAAGAACATTCTTTCATCATTCCTGGTTTATCATTTGTCCCCTTGTCCCTAAATTYTGAACTCTTGGTAGATAGAAACTCAGTCTGAACCCCTAGTATCTAATACAGAGGAGGCTTCCATGGGCTCCTTGAGACCAGGTACAGAAAACTAGGAGTACATAATTATTTGCCACTTTCTGTCCCTTACTTTTAAACCTCCACATTCCCGAGGGGACCTRTTTTTGTTTTGTTTTGTTTTGTTTTTTTATCATGATGAATTTTATTTTTTTAATATATTTCATTTTTATTTTGTTTTTGTTTTAATTAGTTACACATGACAGTATGATGACCTTGACATATCATACATTTGAATCAGATGGGATATAATTTCTCATTTTTCTGAGTGTACAGGTTGCAGAATCATATTGGTCATGCAGTCACATATATACACACAGTAATAGTAATGTCTGTTTCATTCTACTATCCTTCCTATCCTCCCAACCCCTCCCCTCCCATCACTTCTCTCTACCTAATCTAAGGTAACGCTATTCTTTTTTTTTTCTTTCTTTCTTTCTCACATCTTTATGCATGTGTTTTGTATAATGATGAGGGTCTTCTTCCACCATCTATGTAATTCCCCTTCTCCCTCCCTTTATTTCCCACCCCTCTTCCCTATGCAAAGGTACTCTTCTTCCCCTGCCCTTCCTCCCTACCCCATTTTGAGTCACCCAAAGGGACCCATTTGGGGTTCTAACCCCTTTTTCTCTGTGCCCTTCACATCTGTTGAGGACCTCATGGCTTAAATACAGTCTATATGTCATATGCCAGACTTTCAAATTTATCTCACTAGCTCATCCTTCTCCCCTAAAAGCCAAATTCATTCCTTACTCATAAGGAATTTCTTACTCTTTATTTTGAATATATGATTAGGTATCATAGCTCAACAGGTCTACAACTGAACTACTGATTTTATTGCTAAAACCTTCCTCYTCCATTAATAAGTAGCAACTCTACTATACTTCTTGCTTAGATCAAAAATTTGAAGTTAAACTTGCCTCCTTTCTTCCTCTTGTACCCCTAACAAATCCAGTCAGTTTTGTCCCGAATCTGAACACTTCTTTCCACCAAGCTGTGATTAGTGTTGGTACCTGAAGTAGCAAAAATTGGTTTCCCTGATTTTTGCCTTTGTCTCCCTTTCCCTTGTCTCCCCAATTCTATTCTCAACACGTCAGCCAAAATGATTCTTTTAAAATATAAGTCAAGTCATGTCACTCCTCTCCTAAATCCTACAGTGATGTTCCATGGCTTCCATTCTCATAGTAAAAGTGGTTGCATTGTCCACAAATCCACACCTATTCTGATCCCCTACTTCCTCCCAACCCTTACCTCCTATCTATCCCTGTCACTCTTAGCTTTAGCCACACTGGCCACTTTGTTGTTCCTTGCACAAAGTTCTGCCTTGGGGCCTTTGCTGTTATTTCATATGTTATACAAAGCTGGTACTTGACTTTTCTTCAAGTTTCTGTCCAGATGTCGTTGTACCTCAATTCTTAGTGACACCTTCCTTGATTGACCATTCTATTTAAAATTGCATCACCTTCCTCTAGCACTCACATCTCCTTTGATTTGTTTCTGAGAGCACTTACTACCATATAAAATTATATCTGTTTTACTAATATATTTGACCATGTCCCCTCACTTAAAAAGTAAACTCTATAAGGGGTAAGATTTTTGAAAGTTGTAGTTTCTCCTCTCTTCCAGTAGCCATTAAGCATCTGACACTTACTAGGCCTTCAGTTGCTAATGGGCTAGGTCATTAATAAGTTCCTTTAATGTCCTATGAGAGTATTCCCATTGTGAAATTATGGTGGCCTTCTACACCAACCCACAATCTCAGTGGGACATACTAGAGCCATTGTTCATGTCTGTGGGAGCTCTCTGGGTCCAGGTTCTCTCAGTGAAGAAAGGCATTGCAGGGGATCACAGACACATTTATACTAACAAGGGCACAATCTAGAAAGAGSTCCTATGAACCAGACTGTCCCATTTCCTGTAGTACATAACCAGTAGTCCATATATATGTTCTGCAATCAAGAAAAGGAAAAGAGTCTCTTCTAAAAAAAACTTTGGTGAAAATTGTGTATTTTTTTAATCTTACTAATGTACAGTATAATAGGTTCTGTTTCTATAGTTAAGGAATTATTCCATTAGTGAGGAGAAAATTAATTTAACCATTGATCTATAGTTTTTCAATTTTTAAGTTTTAAAAAATATTATATGCATGAGCTGTGTAGCACAGATTACATACAGGAAACTATACTGGTACTTCATTGTTTTAAAAATGGGTAGTTATGCCAGTCACAGTGGTCCACGCCTATAATCCCAGCAGCTCTGGAGGTTGAGACAGGAGGATCTCAAGTTCAAAGCCAGCCTCAGCAAAAGTGAGGTGCTAAACTATTCAGTGAGACACCCTGCCTCTAAATAAAATACAAAATAGGGCTAAGGGTGTGTCTCAGTGATCAAGTGCCCCTGAGTTCAATCCCCAGTACCAAAAAAGAAAAATTGGCAGTTACACTGATACATAAAAATGCCATTTGAAAATTCCACAGCATCTTTATGTTGAGTTTGTGGTGTCATAATTGACCATATATCAAAAGTGGTAGATTCAATAGTTTACTGAAAGAGTCGAGTTTCATTATTGCTACTTAATTTCTTTTACAGGGCAAAATTCTAAAAACATCAGTTCATCTCCAAGCATTGAGAGTTTGCCTGGAGGAAGAGAATTCACTGGCTCCCCACCTTCATCTGCTACTAAAAAAGATTCCTTTTTTAGCAACATCTCCCGGTCCCGCTCACACAGCAAAACTATGGGCAGAAAAGAATCTGTAAGTATTTAAAGACCCTTTATTTGGTTTTTATTCTTCATTTTCCTCTAGATTGCTGCATTTACAAAAGCTCCCCTGGTGCCCATTTTTATAAAGCTCTTATAACTTTCATGAACTAAAACAAATTATTTTATCAAAAGTATCTTAGTTTTAGTAGTATAATTTAGTAATATTTTAAGGCTATGTGCTTTATTAGCGGGGGGAAAAGTAGCATTATTAAAAATGAATTTAATCTTTCCCAAATCCCTGGACTATCCTTCTGTCCTCTGCAAAATGCATTTTTGTCAAAACCCATTTTTTTCCTGAAATTTAACAAATAACATTATATCAGAGATTATGACATTTGAAATAAACCAAGCTAATTTTTCCATTTTAAGTATTTCTTAAAAACTAAAAATAATTATCTTACCATTTGTTTTTAAAAAGCTATAAACTACATTTAAGTTATAGTGTTTTGATAGTTTCTCTGTAAGATCCATTGTATACATTTCCCAATAGGACATACCTAAAGCATATCAACTGCTTTAAAAATTTTGTTTTGTAGGCAGGGGCTGGGGCTCAGCGGTAGCACACCTGCCTGGCAAGTGTGAAGCACTTGGTTGGATTCTCAGCACCACATATTAATAAATAAAATAAAGTTTTATCAACAACTAAAAAATATTTTTAAAAAATCTGGTAGTATCTGAAATCTTTATAAAATAACTTTATAAAACTTTGTTTAACCACATTTTATGGCTAGTTCAACACCTGATATACTAATATGAACTCATATGCTCACTTTAAGATGAGACATTGTAATAGTAATACAGGATCTAGCTATAATGGGAACGGACCTAAATTTGGGGGAAAAATGAACTACAAAACCTTACAGGGATGATAATTCAAAGTATATAGAATAAATAATATGGTATCTATCTATGTGATTTTCAATGTCCTTGAGTAAGATAATCAGYTTCCTGGTATTTCAACTACTACATCTGCAAATTAAATAATATATAGTTATACATTACATAATGATGGGGCTGTTCTGAGAAATACATTATTAGGCCATTCTGTTGTTCTGTGAACATCATTGAATGTACTTATATCATCTAAATAGCTATGATATCACTGACATAATCCTATGGGATCACTGGGGTTCCTCATTGACCAAAACATCATTTTGCAGCACATGACTGTACTTTGCTCTCTGAAGGGAAGAGTTCACTGCATGCTGTCTTCAGATCCCTTTTATTTAGAAACTGTAATTCTATAATTTAAAAAACAGCACAATAGAACAGTTTTGTTTAAAGATGGCACCTTTAGTGTGACCAATTTAACTCTGCTCCCTTGTAAAACTCCAGCCTAAGGAAAATAAGGGTAAAGATTAACCCTGAAAGAATAAGAAAACAAAAGAAAAGACAGCAGAAAAAAAAAAAAGTTTGTTTAAAGCAGATAGTAGTTGGTAACCAAGTACTAAGTCAGTAAGTAAAACCCAAGAAGCAAGTGCATTTAGGTTGTGAAATCCTCCAGGAACTCAGGAACTGAGAATGAGGATGAAAAGAGAACTGAAGGGATGATAATTCATGGAAGTATTTAAAGAATCCAGTTTCTTTTCCCCACTTAAGTAGAAGACCAGAAGTTTCATTTCCAGAGAAGCATAAAACAGAGCATCAGGCACCTTCCACTATGAAACTACCCTACTGGAAAAGGGGTGATGAATATACTTGAGTCCTAAAGTTTGAGGATATCACGCCACCACCCACACACACATGCACACACAGGCTCCTCCTGTTGCTTCCCTGAGCACCAATATGCTCAACTCTTCAAGCAGGAGATTGGAAGAGTTTTCTTTAGGCACACACACAGATGTGGTGTGTACAAACTGTATGTTTACATGAGAAGAGGAGAGAGCAGGAAGGTGGTGGTCAGTAGAACTAAATCTCCTTCCATAGTGGGAAAACAGTGGAGAAAAATTAAAAAGTAACAATACAAACTAACAAAAAAAAAAAAAACCCAAACAAAAAAATTTGAAAGAGGTTGCTTCTGGGAACAGGAAGTGGAAGGTAGTGTTGTGGGAACTGTCTTTCATAACAGGCCCTGTAGAACCATTTGACTCTTCATTGTTACACAGGTGACTGAGATTTAAAATAATAACTAAAAATTACAACAAAAATAGAATGCATTGGCATAATAAATTAGAAGAGCTGTCTGTATGAAGAATCATGTATGTGAAGAGCCAGAATAAAGGAATAACAAATGAGAAAGGCATATGGAGACATGTTTCATTTGCATTCTATTATATTTTTGGTAGCATATGGATTAGTCTACAACATAAATTAATTACATCTCTTGATGGTGATATTTTAACATAAAACTGAGAAGTTGAACAAAAATAGAAATAGGGTAAGTCTAACTCCCTACATAGATGTGCTGTGAACCAAGAGACAGAATGGAAGTGATCATTCAAAATTTAATGTTTCCTAACCTGTGGGGAGAAAGTAGGCAGAAATTTTTAAGAGAAAGTTCATGGTTTTTTAAGTAATACAGTAGTTTTATTATTTTATGAAATAGCGTGTGGTAGTCAGTTCTCTTTGCCATCTCTTGCTAGGATTATACCTCCTTGTCCCCTGTGATCTGTCAAAGTCATGTGACTAGTTCTGTCCAGTGAATTGTGAGTGGAAGTGATACACATGTATTGCCACTGCAAAAGCCTCCACTACACAAATTTTCTCAAGCACAAAGAGCAGAGTCTTCCTGTCAGCCCAGGAAGTACATACATGAAATATGCATGAAATATGCTTTGATTGACGTAAGATTTGATTGATGGTTATCACAGCCTAACAGTGCATAGTTGGAAAATGCTCAGGCCCACAGCTGGCAATCATTCTCCCATGGGAGTGATGAGCTACTTAACTGACATAGGAGTAGTCTCAGTGTCACCAAGCCTGATTAGGTACCCACCATCCTTGCACCCACTTTGCTTTTATTTCCAGCTCAGTTTGGTGTGAAGAAGGGGTAGTGTCCTTGAAAAAGCTCAAGATCGTTTTTTATTAAGTCATTATCATCAGTTTTTCACACCAGCAACTGGTCAGAAATTGAAACAAGATACCTGGAATTAAACTATATGATGCTTTTCAGATTTCAAGATTCCATTAATCTTTTAAAGCAGTCTAGCATCAAGAGTGTTGATGTCAATTATCAAAAAGTTACAATAGCAGTTGAAAACTGGCATACAACCAAAGATAACCTAGTAATAGCTATCATCCCAAGTGTGGTGAAATCTGCTTATAAAGGTATTTTGAGAAATGATTTTCAAAATCAATACAGGTGCAACATATCCTGGATGAGCATCACGTTATGTCGAAGAACTTTTTCCCTCTTGGTATCGCCTGCATGTGTACCATGTAAAGCCCTTTTGTAATCTGCAGGCTATCTTCTTTAGATAAAGATACATCTGGCCATATGAGAGGGCCATATTTAACTAAAATTCTAAAGAGGTAACAGATTAACCCTTGTGCAGGTGTTTATAAAAGACATCATTAAACTTCTTTACTGAACTGTGAACAAAGTAGAAAGTTTTAAAAATTGGCCTCACTTCACTACCCATCATACCATGGTTTTGAAGATTGGTATTTATTCATGAAGTCAGTTTTCTTTTTGTCTTGAGGAAAAATGGAAAATTTTGATACTTTTAATATTTTATGCTTTATTTTACATGACAAGTGTCATCCAGTACTTAAGTTTCCTAGAAATGTGCTTTTTAGTTGGTCGTTTATGTATTAAATAAATTTTTAGTCATGTTCTGTGATTGTTGCTAAATTATTTTCTAATGGTATCTTTGCTATGGTTAAAAGATAGGGAAGATAATGAATATAAGGAAAACTCTAAAAGTGACTTATGTGAATAAATTCTAATATTTTTTAAAAAGGATTATATTTTTTTAGTTCCTGAAGAACTGCAAGACATTTTGCTATGTTTATGATAATTATATATCAATCTCCAAAAACCTGAAAATATCCATGATTCAGAATTCTCGAGAAAGGACAGAAAAATCAAAAGCTTCCTGAGCTAGATATCCCTACCTAAGACAGGATGCATAATGATAAACCCACCACCAAGGGTTCATAGTGCTTCTGAGGGGCTCACCCCTTGTGTTTATAACCCCTGCATTCACACCTCTTTGCCCCTTAGTAGTCTGAACATACACCATGGTCATACTAATAGGACTTAATCTTATAATATTCTTTGGTCTATTCTTTATCATGACAGAATAACAAAAAGTATCAGGTGAATGAAAAGAAAGTGGATTCTTATTTACCTATGGAAGTAGAGACAACTTGAACATTACCTAATCTACTTCTGGCCTTATTTTAGAAACTGTAATTTAAAACATTATATCTGTATAAGGAATATAAGATAAAATGCTTATAGTGAAACTGGAGAAGGGGGAGTTAAGTAATTAAACTAAATTTTTTTWAAAAACTCATTTACTGAAGAGACATGGTTATGAGCAGTAAAGATACACACACACCCTTTCTAGAGACAGTATTTGGGAAATCCTCATGAGGCTTATTTTCTCATCCCATGGGCAGAATTAAATTCCATGCCCACTCCTAAGCCAACCTCTGTTTAAGGGGAAAGGTTAAGAGAAACCCTTGACTGTGTGTGTGAAAAGGCTGTAGGCAGATATGATAAGGCAGCCAACAACTTAGTAGGCAATTAACTGACAGAATAATCTATCTTATCCTCCCCTGAAACATTTGCTTTTTCAAAGAGCCAGTTTTGTTGTAATAAGTTATGTTTTAGCAGTGGATTTTCAGGCCACTTGAGTTAAATTGGTGGTTGGAAAAGAATGGAACAGAGTGCCTTTCCCAGGACACCAGAATTTTCCTAGTTACCTGATTTTCTTTCAAGTCAATGATGTATATACTACCCAGGAACACATGGGAAGTTTCAATCACAGTGGATTTTTTTATGGACTTCTGGGTGGAATTGAATGCTGGCCTCTAGAATTTGTC